CCCAGGTTCCAGCTACTTCCACATCTTCGGATGACCTCTATTTCAGAATTTATCCTTATACCTGTTATAATGTACAGGTCACATTAATAGGCTTTAGGTGTCACCTTTATTCTCCAATATTCACCAGGCATTTGACACTGTAAAAATAATTGTTTGCCAATTATTATTGCTTTAATTTCACTAGCATCCATTATTTTTCCTAAAACAGAATCTCCATTTGGCAGTAGAATGCAAGACACTATTACCAGAATGAGCACAGTAGCCAAAATCCATGTTCAAAAAGTATTGTAACCTAATTGTCAGCTGTTACCATGATGCAAGACTTTATTACCTCATTTTGCTGTATTTGTGTCAAAACTGGAGCCAGTTCTTATGACCAGTTTAGTTAGTGGCTGTACAATTTTCACACAGTTCTTAGTGGTTTGTTCAGATTAAAATGCTACTAGCCAGTGCTTTAAAACCTCTCAGCTACAGAGAAATTCAAGGGAAAACTTAAATCAGACTCTCTCCTGTAGGGTGAACGTGGTCCTCCTGGTGAAAGCGGTGCTGTTGGTCCCGCCGGTTCCATTGGAAGCCGTGGTCCTGCTGGCCCACCAGGCCCTGATGGTAACAAGGTATACCTTTCCCAGCTGCCACTGCCTTGCTGTTGAATTCCTGATGATTGAATTTGGACACAATCCAAAACCTGGTTTCCGGAGGGCATAGGTGATAACTGCTAATAGGTAGTTCACTATAGCCCCTGGGTCATCTCTTCAAGTGGTAAAGCTCCATTCCAGCTAGTCCATGCTAATATTAAATGGGTAGTACTGTAGATGATGGGAGGGGAACTCAGTTTGAATACAGCTTGTCAGCTGGGTATGCTATTATTCTGTTTTGAGATGGGATCTGAGATTTTGACTGAAATCCATGCTGACTTCTATTTATACCCACATCTACTTGTACACAGGAAGTTCTTGTGTCTAGTAAGCAATATTCTCCCCCTAACATCAGGGCAATAATAAGTGGTTATCTAACAAATTATGTTGGTTTGATGATAACTGAATCTGGGTCTTAATTTTCAGGATTTTCATGGCGAATCTTTCTACAGAAGTTTAGTTGGGAACATGGGACACCCTAAAACCTCAGGAGCCCACAGACTCAGAGAGTGTTCATGTGTAGCATCTTAACTAGCTAAAAAAGTAAAATACGTACAATAGCTTAAGACAAAATGCTACTATTCACACTGTTTACAACCAAGCAGAATGATGAGCAAAGCACTAATGATGATTTTGTTCCAAATTGTGTGAATGATTTGACCCTGACTTACACGATATGCTGTTGCTGCTAGGGTGAGCCTGGCAATGTTGGTGCTGCTGGTGCTCCTGGTCCTGCTGGCCCTGGTGGAATCCCAGGAGAGAGAGGTGTTGCTGGTGTTCCAGGAGGCAAGGGTGAAAAGGTGAGGTGGACAACTGCTTTGTCACTGCATGCACAGGTTTGGGAGATGCCTGAAATTAACTTGAAAAAACCTGAAGGTTACCCCAGTTGAACTTTCATTTAGTGTGAAACTGTATTATTTAGTGAGCAAGTAGAGGTTTTGTTGGTCTAACAGACTGGCAGTCTTTTCTAAGGTTTTATTCTTATCTTTGCTCAGCATTTGGGATTGGTTTAAGTGGCAATTGGTTCTTCCCAGGATTGGGTAACAATGAACTTATCTTTACCAGAGAAATACTAAAGCTGTCTTTGAGTACAAACTTTATAGTAGGAATGGGCCTACCAATCACAAAGGACTAAGTCTCTGGATCAAATCCATGACTGCTCTAGGTGCAGTGACAATATAAGTAAATCAGTTGCAAAAAGTTTTGGATTGTATCAGTTTTCTAAAAAATCAGAAAGTATTTTAGCCAATTTAAACTCTTATATAAAGCTGTAAACTCTGGTTGCAAGTTCTGTTGCTACTTCTGCTTTGCCATATAATTATCTATAAAATTGATTTTTATCTTGCTATGTACCTTTCATTCCGTATTCTCTCCTGTTCATTATTTAAAATCTAAACTGAGATTTTTAGAACTGCATTATTTGACTAAAAATCCATAGTCATTTATCATAAATGAAGTTGTAAGGAAATTTTTAAAAATTCTTTGCAAACTTTTTAAAAAACACTATGTATTGACATGCAAATTAATGCAGAAGTCTAGGCTGTATTTAGAGGAAAAAAAGACATAGAGAACAGAGTGCTGGTCTGATTTCTTGACTCTAGTGGTGGCGTGGATGTAACTTTTTGTGATATGAAACATATGGCATTTTACGTGACCACCCATATGACATCATTGTTGGTAACAGCTGTTTTCCTGCTTCAATTAGAAAGTATAACACAAATACCTAGAATAATTTTTACAGATAGCTATTTCTTGACCAAAAGTAAAGGGGTTTTGACAGCGGATTTATATTCATAATTGGTAATATACATCAACTTGGTTTTGAATTTTTAATTCCATCCAAAATTCTTGGGACCTCGTAGAAACTAAAAAGGTTTCCCATGAAAGAAGCAGACTTATAATTCTGAAAAGCATGTCAATCCTCTTTGCAAATTTTCACTTTTCAAGTCAGTACATAGTCGGAAATAAGAATGAAATAATAATCAAAGTCCATTCCCAAAAAATACCCTAGTATTATAAGCATCTTGTATGATGTCCAAGTAACATACAGATACCCAGCAAACAGTTCAAGACTTATTTCATACAAACTACTGTGTTCGTTACCAATATAATGCTTTTCTCCCCTCTGTGTATTCTAGGGTGCCCCAGGTCTGAGAGGTGATATGGGTGCAACAGGAAGAGACGGTGCTCGTGTGAGTATCTTTGGTTCTACTTGAGTTTGCCTTGCTGCACCTCAGAACTTCAGTGACTGAAAAGGATGTTCAGGACTTAAGTTTCCCCCTTATTGTGTTAGTGCTTCTTTCTGCTTATTTTAATACAAATCAATGTGATTTTGTTGCCCCTTGTCCAGGGATGTTTGAATTTAGGGGGAGAAAGAGAGAAAAGTGTTTACTTCTCATGCATCCAAGCAGAGAAATTACATGAGCAGAGAACCTTGGATTGCATAGCTGTTCACTGTGACATTATCTTCTTTAATTTCATGGGCTCAGCCCAGACAGCTAATTCTAAAGGCAGCCTGCAAAGCTACACAAAAATTATCATTAATTTGAGATTTAAGGTGCCTATCCTGGAATTAATACTTGGGAAGGAAATAACAATAATAACAATAATAATAATTGGGAAGGAAAATAACAGAATAGATCATGTGTCCTTTTATCTTGAAAACATCTAGAAGAAAGTAACACACCTTTCTCTAGGAGGAAAGAGAAAAATTATTTAAAGTACTTGCTCCTACTCACATTTTGTTAGAAATGGTGTCCTGTCTCTTGACCTGCAGGGTCTCCCTGGTGCTATTGGTGCTCCTGGCCCTGCTGGTGGTGCTGGTGATCGGGTAAGTCTACCCTTTGAATGAAAAAGCGTCTTGTTTGTTTATGCAGTTTGCCCACGCATGAATATTAAAGATGATTTCCATCTTTCTAATGTGCACAAGTTCAGTACATTTTTCAGACTTGGGAGGCAACTTTATTGGGACTATTCAGCAAAGTTTGCCATAGGACCCCAAACCTTTTCCTAAAAGGGCGGGGAAGTGATGCACATCTACATGGTACTGTGTTATATGGGGAGAAGATTCTGATTCAGGCTTTGGCTGAATTCTTCCCAGTCAAAGTTAAGCTCCACAACCCTTCTCACAGTGTGAGAAGGGGTTTTGATAAAGTGATGAATAACCACATATTATCTCAGAATGATCCTGTCTGAGAATTGTTAGAAATTATTAATACAGGGTGGGTCAAAAAAAGAAGCATTTTCAGCAACATCTCCTCCAGTGGAGACACAGGGGACTGCACCAGTACCACAAGGTCACCCCTATTCTGGTTACAGCAAGGCCTTTCCCCACAGTGTCATAATGTTTTCTGCTATCTGTTTAAGGGTGAAGGAGGTCCTGCTGGTCCTGCTGGTCCTGCTGGTGCCCGTGGTATCCCTGTAAGTAGCAATTTCTGCAACTATTCTTGTGTCAAAGACATGATGTTCAGAAAACTGCCCTTTTAAAGCCCAATCCAACCGTTCCTCTCTTCTTTGTTCTCTCTTTAGGGTGAACGTGGTGAGCCTGGTCCCGTAGGTCCAAGTGGATTTGCTGGACCCCCTGTGAGTTCCGTTTGTGTTTTCCTGATATTGATGCCATGCCATTCCTCTCTTTCCTTTGCAAGAGTTCTAGCTCCTCATTCTGTCTGTTTTTCTGCCTGTAGGGTGCAGCTGGTCAGCCTGGTGCTAAAGGCGAGCGTGGGCCTAAAGGACCTAAGGGTGAAGTTGGACCGACAGGTGCTATTGGCCCAATCGGTGCTTCTGGACCACCAGTAAGTGAACTGTGTCTTGTTAAAATGCACAGTTCTTAACTGTGCCATGCAGGCAATACACTAATCTGAAGGCCTTGAGTTTTGAAAAAGTAATTAAAAAAAGAAACAAAACTTCAAGACAAATTAGGCTGTGTGGAAAGTCACCATACTGATTTTTCACGCATTATATAAACTTTGTCAATCTATTTATGTGGGCTCAGATTGTGAGTCTGGAACTGAAACAAGGAGAAAAAAACCCAAACACCTACTTTTCACCTTGCTCTGAAGATCAGCAAAATCAGTCTATCTTGGGCCATTCAGGGAGAGATTGTGGGTAAGTTCTGAGCTGAGGATGTTGATACCTTTTTCTCAAATTCAGGATGTGCTGTCACAGACTAGTTTTCAGACTCAGTCATCCAGAAGTGCATGTGGAAATTTGTTCATGCACCCACTTGCACACAGGCTTTTCATGTGCTACCAGCATTATAGCCCAAAGCTATATTCTGCTTCACATGCATGCAGCCCATTATTGGGGAACTGGTTGAATCATGCAGAAAGTCAGACCCAGGTAGTTCAAATACCATAAAGTGTTGCAAGATAACATGACTTGGGGTACTTACTGTATAATTTTAATAGACCAACACCAGGCTCTTGCACTATGTGGATGTGTAAGTCACACAGTGCAAAAGGGGGACTTACTGGTTTTGCCCTACTTTCACATTTTGATTTCCAGATTTGTTTAGATGCACATAACATTTGCAAGGAAATTCATTTGAATCATAAATGCCTTATATGCAACTCTTCCTAGGCCTTATGATGCTGATTTTAAATGTCTGTGAGAACTTAATACCCTAGTACCAGGATAGTTATCCTCCTGCTGGAGTAAAAATTACCCTTAGCTATCACAAGAGAGACACTGAGCCCTTATTGTAAATAGGGAACATTAACTGCCTTTGCTTATTCCATCTCTCTTTTTCAATCCTTCATACCTAGGGTCCTGCTGGTGCTGCTGGTCCTGCTGGCCCTCGTGGTGATGCTGGTCCTCCTGTAAGTCTTCAAACTTTTGGTACTGATGTTGTTGCTTTTCATGAAGTTATTGTTGCTTTTAAAATTAATCTTCCTTTTCACTATCATTTTTAGGGCATGACTGGTTTCCCTGGTGCTGCTGGAAGAGTTGGTCCTCCTGGCCCTGCTGTAAGTAACTAATGAAGTTCTAATGGGAGATAAATAAGAAGTTGCTTTGGTTAGGGATAATCCTAAATTTTGTTTCATTGACACAAATTCTAATTGCACTAGATATCTCAGATCCCTATAGGATTGGATAAGAAAAAAAATCTAACTGTTCAGACTCCCAGAGTAGGAGCTAGGCATTTAATTCTTGGGGGTTTTTTACAGCGTGTCAAGCATTCTTACTCATCTTGAAGTGCCCAATCATTTGCAAAATCTGTGTTCATTTGCTTTTGTTCAAATCAATGGCTACACAGTTATTCCTGGTGGATTGGAATAAGGACATCATGTCCAATGTGCAAAAGCATATTAAGGTTATCTTGTATCCACACTTTCTAAACTATCTGCAGTTCCAGCCCCTGTCTTGAGCACGGAAATGTCTCATTATGTTTTAGAATGTGAATCCCTGCTTATTTATTTTTCAGCCAGAAAATCTCATTCCAGATTGACATTTGAAATGTTTCTTTTCAAAGGTGTTTCCAACCTTTACCAAAAAGTAATTCTTTCCCTAGATACCCTAGATATAAATAAATTTTAAATCCCAGTATCTAAAGCAAATAATCCTGTTGAATTGGAAGAGGTTGGGTTTTTTTCTCATAGATTTTATAATTGCAATTAATGTCTCCAGAGAGCGCTAAATCTATATTTTCCCACCAAATTATGCCGCTTTCACCTGCCCTGATTAAAAAAAAACTCAGTTCAATAACCCTACAGCTATCCTCTGCTGACAAAGCTATAGAAGTTGCTGCATCAGAGTAGCTGATAACGTGTTTATTGCAAAGCACATCTTTTTTACATGGACTTAAAGTGAAGTTTATCTCTGATATCCCCAGTTAATGGGTCTATATTGTAATGATGTCATATTCATACTCGATCCTAGGGCATCACTGGTCCCCCTGGTCCTCCTGGCCCAGCTGGCAAAGATGGTCCTAGAGGTCTGCGTGGTGATGTTGGACCAGTTGGCCGCACTGGTGAACAAGGTATTGCTGGCCCGCCTGGCTTTGCTGGTGAGAAAGGTCCATCTGGAGAGGCCGGTGCTGCTGTAAGTTACTGAGTATAACAGCTCGTTAAAGGTGTTTCTCTTATGTAAATGTTATGGCTTCTAAGATACTTTCGATGTTTGTGAAGGGCTTTTGTGTTTTACCCACAAATTTAGCAAAGCTTTTAAATAGTTCCAGTGAGACACAAGAAATTGTTTATAGGTGTGTTTGACAAACACGCCTTTAAAAAGTGAACCTGATCCCTGGATCAGGTTTTTTTTGCTCTTTGTTTTTCTTGTGGCGCGTTGTATCTTTCTCTGTAAGTGGAGCAAATGAAAGCAATATGACTAATTAGAGAAAAAATTGATACTTAGTCTGAGAAAGGGGAGCAGAGTCTCCTGCTCTGAAATTGATCATCATGGATGGAAAAGGGAACATGTAAACATCCATTTAGAACAATCTCAATTCATAGCTGCATCAGAAACTCTGATTTGTGGGGATCATGATGTTAAAGTTGTCTTCCCCCAGGTTGACTTAGAACTATGCAAATAAATTAATTAATTTTGAGTATCTTTAAGCTTGCACATCTAAATTACTGGCTTTTTTTAAGGTCATACACATTTCTGTCTTATTGAAGTGAGTACCTCTGTGAAATACTCCCATTGTTTCTCAACAAAAAAATTATAGAAATGTCTTCTGTGATCTGCAGAAGTTGCAGCTGAGAACGAAATCTTCAGTATCATTGACAGATATGTATGTTAAATTTATTATTGTCTTGTAATATAAAAATTATGCTCTTCACATCACAGGGTCCTCCTGGTACCCCAGGTCCTCAGGGTATTCTTGGTGCTCCTGGTATTCTTGGTCTGCCTGGTTCTCGGGGAGAACGTGGTCTTCCAGGCATCTCTGGAGCAACAGTGAGTATATGATTAGTAAACTGCTTTAAACAGATAATGTGTTAAAAAAAAAAAAAAAAAACCAAACCACTTGAGGTCCACTCTTATGGGAAGCCAGGGAAAAGGAGATGTAGATTCTCCTCTTTCCATTGCTGCTGGAAACAGAATATATGAACCTAACAGACTTAGAGCAATGGAAGAAATTATGACTTGTTGCAGACAAACAAGATTTGTGTCAGTAAGTGAGCATATTTCTCACTGTCATCAGAGGTTTCTGATAGTAAAATTTAGAATGAAGATAATATTTGATATAGTTAGATATGTTTCACATATCTTGATTCTTTTTCACTTCCTGAACTGGTTGCAGAGAAATATTTCTCTTAGATAAAGACCAAAAGTTCTGTAAGACTGGTTTGTGTTGTATTATAATATCACATTTTGTTACCACTGTTCCTGTATTAGGGTGAACCTGGTCCCCTGGGTGTTTCTGGTCCTCCTGGTGCCCGTGGTCCCTCTGGTCCTGTGGGTTCTCCTGGTCCAAATGGTGCTCCTGGTGAAGCTGGACGTGATGTAAGCTGTCTTATTTCCACTTCAGGTTGCTTTTCTTTTATTCTGAGGCAAAGACAAATACACAGAAAAAGTGGATGGAACTGGAGATTGTTCTGCTAGCAAACTTGTACCTTGCAATGTCTTCAGAGAAAATTATATCAGGATTTTTATAGGCATAGATTCCCATCCCCAATTAGGTGACAAATTCTTCAAGGCACAAGTTATGTCTGAAATACATTCTGGAGTCACTATCAAAATCTTTTGACTTCTTTACTTAATTACCAAGAAAGATGGAGTGGGGAAAAGATTACTTCATTGCTGGAACTGAGAACAAATAGTACGTTCCAGGGGATGTACCTTGGCTATAGAGAAGAATATATCACAAAAGCCTTGTTTATCAATAAATTTTCTTAAACATCATGTAAGACACATTATACATATCTTTCAGGGAAGTATAAAAATTGCAGTCACTTTTACTTGAGGTATCTAGTGATTCATGGTATTAAAGACAGAGCTTTTTAAAATTAAGGCTCAGAAGGCCTATGAAGCACATTACACAAAATGTTGTAATTCAGTTTTTGGAGTTGTGCAACACTCAGCACTGTTTTGGAGTCCTCACAAAACAGATACACTTAAACATTGTGGCTGAGCTACGCAGTGTTTCCCAATGCGCATTCCCTCTCCACAAAACGTAAGGTAAGTTTGCAGGGTAAAAACACTACAGAGCCAACTCTGGCCTGTGTGGCAGGCACTGCTGAACTGCAGGTTAAGGCACAATGGTGACATGAGCCCTGTGCAGAAGGGGGAATGTAGGAACACTGGAGTGGAACAAATTGTTCTCACTAACATCCTGCCTCGTGGGTGATTACTTGAAGGACAGAGTCCTGCTCCAACACCTTCATAGAGTAGCAAATAAACTTATCCATTTAATTTAACCATCCAAGTTAGTAGTTCACCTTAAAGCAGGGAATCCATACAGTGGCTATACATGACTTACACTTTGAGAACAGTTCAAGTAAAATACTAACACATTGCCTTGTTTCCTGTTAGGAGAACTATATAAAGCTTTCCCTGAAGGGGAAAGGGAAGGGAAGCGTATTTGATAACCCGAAGTATTTTTAATACAGGGCACCCACAAGTCCTGAGACTTGCAGGATCTGAAAGAGAACAGAGAATAATAATTAAAAAGAAACAAACTTTCTCTTCCATTGGAATTTTCTGAAGGAAAAGGTTCACTTTTGTACACAGTGAAACAGGTGAAGTGAGATTAACATTCACAAAGGAAGCCATTTAACCTTGTGAAGTACTACAGCGAAGTAATTTAGATTTCTGAGAAAATTAATATATCTGAGGGATTCGAGAATAGTATCTATAAGGAAGACCTTTTTGTCTTCAAGTTTGATACTATCCCATTCAATGTCTTCTTACTGTCATTGGAAGCAATTAGTCTGACACACAGTTCCTTATGAGATGAAAGGTGATGGAATTTGATTTTTTTTTCATGGTATTTTAACAGGGCAATCCTGGAAATGATGGTCCTCCAGGCCGTGATGGTGCTCCTGGTTTCAAGGTAACTTTTTTTTATTTTATTTCATTACCATGGAAGAAATATTCCAATATGTGTAAGTCAGTAGTAACACACTGTCTCTCCTGTTGTGTTCCTTTGTTCCCAGGGTGAGCGTGGAGCTCCTGGTAGTCCTGGTCCCAGTGGTGCTCTGGGTGCTCCTGGTCCTCATGGCCAAGTTGGTCCTTCTGGAAAGCCTGGAAACCGTGGTGAACCCGTAAGTTGATGAAACCTTAATTTTTTTATTAAGGTCTAAGAAGACTAAGATTTGTCCATCAGATATAAAATACCTCTCACCTCTACAACGTGTGGATAATTACTTTCTGCAGAAATGTGTTGAGCATGGAACCTTCATTAGAATAGTATACAGCAGTGCCATGTATTTTCTATTCTTGTTTCAGGGTCCTGCTGGTGTTGTCGGTCCTGCTGGTGCTTTTGGTCCAAGAGGTCTTGCTGTAAGTCTGATTTTTAAATACATTACCACATTGATGCAAAAAGAGAAAACATACTTTATTAACAAGGACTAATGACTCTGCTCAAGATACTGGCTAAAAAGTAGTGCTTAAGGACCTGTAAATATATATGGATCTAGAATCTCAATCAGCATTCTCTTTTGTGGGATTGGTCCTGAAACTTTTGGGATTGGCACTTTTCCTAGTTGTGTTAACAGGATGTAATTTATACAAATTGAGGCAACCTATGGCATAATATAGAGTGCTTATGTTTATTCCTCTGGCAACTGTGTTCCTTCCTAGGGCCCACAAGGTCCACGTGGTGAGAAAGGTGTACCTGGTGATAAGGGTCCTAGAGGTCTGCCTGGCTTGAAGGGACACAATGGATTACAGGGTCTTCCTGGTCTGGCTGTAAGTAATTGATTTTTAGGATTTTGAATAGAAAGAGTTAAAAAAAGAGGAAATAAGGTCACCCTAGGGTGGAATTATATATGCACAACCCAGCAGATTGATACCACTTACTCCATTCTGCATCATCTTTCAAAGGCCATTAAGAGTCTCTTTAACGCTCAATGCTCTTCATATAAAATGGCAAATTTTAATAGGCTTTTATTAATAATTTTAATAATTAATTATTTTAATGGCTTTAGAACTATGAGTTGCCTTGAAACTCAACTGCATTTGGCTAGCACAGAATTAAAAAAAACTCTGTCTTTTTTTTAGTCTTATTTCTTACTTTGGCCAGAAATTGTAAAGCCTCTGTATCAGAGAAGCAGAAGTAATTTATGAATTTTCTTCCCTTTTAAACTGAGGTATTGCCTTTTGGGAATTCTGAAAACCTGAAGAAACAATATAGAGAATTTTATAGGTTATCCCATTAAATACCTCTTTACGCCCTTTCTCCTTCCCTCCCAAAACAAGCATTTTATATCCCAACTCCACTAATAAATGTAATTAGCCCTAGAATACCATTCTCTAACTATAGCTCCTTCTTGAATCATGCAAATACAAACATGTGCCACTGCACTTTTTAATGACTATGCATATATCTTTCCCAATAGGGACAACACGGTGATCAAGGTCCTCCTGGTAACAATGGCCCTGCTGGCCCGAGGGTATGTGAATTTCAGAGCATATTCTAATAATTCTCCCATTACTTTTGTGCAATATATATGTACACTCCCATTTATATGAATCTCTATTTGCAGTGCTTTTACTGTAATTAAACTGTTCAAATTTCCTTTTAGGGTCCACCTGGTCCCTCTGGTCCTCCTGGTAAAGATGGTCGTAATGGTCTCCCTGGACCTATTGGCCCTGCTGGTGTGCGTGGCTCTCATGGTAGCCAAGGTCCTGCTGTGAGTATAACTCTTATTTTGCTGATTTAACACATTTATGTCACACTAGAAGCCTAGCAGTGTAGGAATATATGTGGGTTTATTTATTTAAAAAAAATATTGAAGCATTTCCCTATTAGGTTTAAACTTGAAGTCCTTATTCACTCCTTACAGCCAGACAGCAAGTACACAAAAGAGGTGTGGTAGTCCTACACTGTGCATCTTCCACTGCTTCAGCCCATAGCAATCACCACAGGGCAAGCCCATATGTGCTGCCTCCGATTAGAGCTAAGGGTGCCAGGAGTTAAGTAGGACTATGCATGTGTGGAAGCATTTAATGGAGAGAAAAATATGTCTAACAGAATGCCTCTTGTCTTTTGCTTTTGAAACACTTTAGGGTCCTCCTGGACCTCCTGGTCCCCCTGGTCCCCCTGGTCCCAATGGTGGTGGATATGAAGTTGGCTTTGATGCGGAATACTACCGGGCTGATCAGCCTTCTCTCAGACCCAAGGATTATGAAGTCGATGCCACTCTGAAAACACTGAACAACCAAATTGAGACCCTGCTGACCCCAGAAGGCTCCAAAAAGAACCCAGCTCGCACTTGTCGTGACCTAAGACTTAGCCACCCAGAATGGAGCAGTGGTATGTTGGTGCCAGATATTTGCCCTTTCTGGCTCATTTCTTTGAATGGCATCCTTGGCCACCTGACAAAAATACTAAGTGACAAAGAAGAAGTTATTGCTGTCTCCACTGAAAACAGATACATTCTGAAAAGCTCTTTATTGCTATTGCTGCACATTATTCCAAAAATTTTTCAAAATAATGCAAAAATACTTAACCCTAGATTTCAAATACAGTTGCTTATACATTAACAATCCAAAATATCTATGAATCCCGCTTATCACCTTAATATTGTTCCTAGCTGTGATATTTATGGCCTCTCTCTGAGTTCCTATATCAGACAAGTGAATATGAACTGAATGCAAAGGCTAAGCTAAGTGAACTATTGTCCACATTTCTTTCCTCAATGGCAGGCTTCTACTGGATTGATCCCAACCAAGGCTGCTCTGCAGATGCCATTAGAGTATACTGTGACTTTGCCACTGGTGAGACTTGCATCCATGCCAACCCTGACCATATTCCCGCTAAGAACTGGTATATCAACAAGAATGCCAGGGACAAGAAGCACGTATGGTTTGGTGAAACTATCAATGGTGGCAGCCAGGTAAGTGATGTATGGGAGGATGATTGTTTTCTATAACGCTGTCTGAAGACACTGACTCTCAGCAAGCAAGCAAGCAGATAAATTAAACTCTCTTAGGGGAGAAATATGGAAAACGGAACTACCTTTTATCTCAAGGGCACAGAGCTCTGGTTCTGGTTTAGGGCACAGTTTGCTAAAAGTATTTTTCAGTATTGTTCTAATATTTCTTGATGTCTACTAGTGATCAATTCAACATGACTAATTGCTATTGCTGAGGGAAGCCTGGACTGGAATATGGTACGTTAGTATAAAGACAGTCCAGAAATTCTGAAAAAGTAAGAAACCCAAATTTGCTTACTCTTTTAATGGAGATTTTTTTACATACTACACTATTCATGGAGAGATATTTATATTACACATCACAGATCCACACTGTATGCCACCGTAACATTCAGAATTATCAGTGTAAACAAAACCAAGAAATATGTTTTCTTGCACATTAAACAC